AAAAAAAAAAAAAAAAAAAAAAAACACCCTTGGGCCTGGCTGCAGTGCTCTCCACATGTGCAAAAGACAAAAAAATGCCAATAGTGAGAGGATGAGATAGATGCGTCCTACCAAGAAATCTGAGATATGCAAGGAACATGAGTATGGACGAAGCACAAAAATCCAGAATGCAAAATCACACTGAAGTCCAAGTAGTCCAAGCCAAAGCAGATAGTACAATGGAACCGAGTAACCATCCAATTGAGAATGATACAGAAGAATCGTGAGTCAATGTCCATGCCCAACAGGGCAACACCATTAGCATAACCCAAATGTAGTTCTCTCTTGTGAATGGCGCCAGGCGCCCTATCTACTCTACAGCCTATCCTACAACTACAGCAATGAAAGCAACCAGACAACCTGACTACCAGCGAGTGATGGTGTCAACACCAATGCTGACCTCCACCATCACCAGGTACGTGTCCTCTTCCCCACACTCTCCCTTATTACCCACACAGCGCCCTTCACCTCCGAAGACCACCTTCGCCCTACACCCTCACTGCACCCTCATGCGGCCCGGCTATGGCCGTCAGTGCCTTGCATGCAAGCAGCGCCCTACTGCCTAGCACTGACCTGCTTCACCTTAGCGCAGCACTGCTCTGCACAGCGCAGCACACATGCATCCGCGCAGCGTGCCCGCAATGCCAGCATTGGCCAAGATCCCTGCCCACTCGCCCTGCTTGCCTATATGCCAGTGCAGCGTGTGGACGGCCTTCCTTCAGCCTGTGACCGGGACCCAGAGGCTGAAGCCTACCCGATACAGTTGGGCCCCGGGGCAATGCAGTTGCGCCTCTTTCATCAAGGCTTGCGGCCAGATTTAGATAGTGGGCCGATTTCCCTTTGGCATTTTCGGCCTTTCTACCCAGCATGCATTGTCGGCCCCACGTTCGAGTGCCCAGGGCCTAACTAACTCAGAGGCCCTGGGCATTTCAACATTTGCTGAAATCCGAGACTCGGTGCACTCCATCCAACTGGCGTGCTGCAACTATATAGACCCCACTTCGTGAAATGTTGGCACAGAGGGCTCTTGTTGATTTGCTGGCCCGCCTTCACTTAGGGCGGGCACTAGGCTTGCTGGGGCCTTAGCCCAGAACATGTACATCATGGCAAGGCCCCTTCTTGAGGGCTCAATCCTCACATTCCATCCCCCTTAGCTTCGAAAGTCCGCTGAGATGCTTACTTCGCAGGTGCCTTCCCTTTTAGCTTCCTTTCATAATCTGCCACCACCTGGGGAGCTGTTTCCATCAGTTCCTCCCAGGTAAACCACCGATCTCCTTCGGATCCGTATAATGCTTGAATCTGATCCGGTACTCTCTCTTGGGTTTAGGCGGTCTTCCTCGACCCAACCGCTTTGCAACAGGCATGTCCATGTGATCCACAATGTCGTCGATGTTGACTTGTCCATCCATGGTTGGGGGCAGCATCGATCTCCTGGAAGGGAATTGATCAGTCACAGCGAAAGGTGCAAGCTTTGAGGCATGAAAGACTGGGTGAGTGCGTAGGTGTCCAGGGACACGAATGACATATGTGGGACCATCCAACTCATCTCCCACTACATCCAAGACTTCCCAGGGACCAAAGTACTGAGGCATTAGTTTGCGAGATATTCCGAACTCTTGTCCTAACTCACTAGCCTTAACCCAGACACGTTCCCCTACCTGAAATGTGGACTGTCTGTGATGTTGATTCTCAGAAGCAATCATGGTTTGCTGAGCCTTCTTCATATGTTCGACAACCTTTTGCAGCAATTTCTCATATTGCACACCGTATTCAAGTGTGCCTGAAGTTGCAGCGGGTCGGTTTTCAGGTAGGAGGAAGTATAGTGCTGATCTAGGCTTCCATCCTAAGTGCAGCTGGTTAGGACTAACGTCGGTACTACTATGTATAGCATTGTTGTACAGGCTGGCGATGAGAGGTAACTGCTCATCCCAGTCATCCTGGCTGGGCTTGATGTAGTGCCTGAGCAAGTGTTGTACAACTCTATTCATTTGTTCGGCCTGTACGTTGGCTTCGGGATGATTCCCTGAAGTCATATGAAGTTGACTGCCCATCTGTTCCGCAATCTTCTTCCACAACTCACTTGTGAATCGGACGTCTCAGTCACTAATGATGGTCTTTGGTAAACCAAAGTCCCTTACCTAGTTGTCTTTGATGACGTATTCTGTCATGGCTGTCTCCGACATTGGTACTAGTCTAGCGTACTTGGTGAATCTGTCAATGATGACGAAAATGTGCCTCTTACCACTCTTGCTGGTCACTAGGGTGTCCATGAAATCCATGGAAACACTAAGTCATGGACCATCAGGAATAGGTAAAGGCTTCAATAACCCAAGCGGTGCTTGAGTTCGCGGCTTGTCCCGCTGACAGACCTGACAGGTCTCCACATACTTCTTGGCATCATCAAACATACCAGGCCACAAAAATCGCTGTACTAAGTTAGCACTCGTCTTCTTGTAGCCAAAGTGCCCAGTTGCGTCATGACATTCTCCTAAAAACAAACTACGCAAAGGTTCACTAGATGGAACTACCATCTCTTTATTCCGACCTTCTCAAGATAGATTAACCCATCCACCATCACGAACTCACTTTCCGTGACCTTGTCTTTTGCCTGAAGTTTGTGGATGATGTCCATCGTGACAGGGTCTTCCTGATAGACTCCCACCAATGATTGACTTACTTCATTAGATACGCCAAATTCAGAAACTAACGCACCTAGGTAGTCTGCTCTACGGGATAGCGCGTCTGCAACCTTGTTGTACTCTCCCTTCAGGTACTCAAGCTTGAAGTCATATTGGTCTATGACCTCAATCCATCGCTTGAGTGCATCAGAAAGAACCGGTTGCGTCTTGATCCATTTGAGGGTCTGATGATCAGTCCTCAGATAGAAGAACCTTCCCAAAAGGAAGTGTCTCCAATGGACAAGTGCCTTGTAGAGAGCATAGAGTTCCCTTTCGTAGGTGGACTTAGCTAACTTCTTCGATGGCATCTTCTTATTCATGTACTCAATTGGTCTCAACTTTTTCCCATCCTGCTGAGTCAGCACTGCGCCAATGCCGTATTGGCTTGCGATAGTGGTAACTATGAATGGCTTCTGCAGATCGGGAACCATGAGAACTTCATGATTCATGAGTGCATGCTTCAATCTCTTGAAAACACTCTCACACTCATCACTCCAGTCCCACGACGTGTCAAGTCGAGTTAGATCTGTCAAAGGAGAGGCGACTGTAAAATAGTTCTTTACGAAGTTCCTATAGTAGCCGCACATTCCTAAGAATGATCTGACCTCAGTGACTGTCTGAGGTCATGGCCAGTCTCGAATACTAGTCACCTTCGCATCTTCCGGCCTAATCCCTTCCGCGGATACTTCATGACCCAAGTATAGTATCTTAGTGCGACCAAATTCACACTTCTCTAAGTTGACCTTATACTTGTGCTCTCGAAGGAGTGAAAGTACCGTCTCAACATGCTGTGCATGCTCCTCGACAGACTTACTAAAGATCAGAATGTCGTCTAGGTAGACCACGACAACCTTATCTAAATGGTCATGGAGGATCCGATTCATAGCGTGCTGGAATGTACCCGGCGCATTGCAAAGACCAAAGGGCATCACTACAAACTCATACAAACCGTATCTGGTATGAAAAGCTGTCTTGTGTTGGTCCTCATGTCTTATTGCGATCTGATGATATCCGGATTTCAGGTCTATCTTACTATAGTACTTGCATCCCTGCACCCTATCCAATAGGTCGTCTATGCGAGGAAGAGGCTCTGTGTTCTTCACTGTGATGACATTAAGGCCTCTATAGTCAATGCACATCCTCAAAGTACCCCCCTTCTTCGGTACGAATAGAACGGGTGATCCGTAAGGGGAAGTACTAGGCCGAATCCATTCCTTCTCTGTCAGCTCCTTTAGTTGCTTCCGAAGTTCATCTAACTCGGCAGGGGCCATCCTATAGATCCTTCCCTTTGGGGTCTTACTCCCTGGAATGATTTCTATAGCGTGGAAGACTTCCCTATCAACAACTCCTGAGGGCTCTTCGAACAGATCAGGGAACTTAGCAACGCGTTCTATCTCTGGGGGTGTTTTAACAACTTCCCCCTTCTCAGAGACATAAACAAGGTACATACCCTCCTCTTGGTTTTGCTTATAGTAGTTGTAGAATGCGGATGCGCACAAGCAGCCATAGATATCTATAATACTACTGGCCTTGAACTTGGTCAATCTGACAGTTCGACCATCGGGCGACTTGTGTTTGAGCACCTTCTTATCCCAGTCGAACTGGGGCTTAGCAACTTTGAGGTTGTACATGCCTAACATCATATCGAATGGCAAATCGTCGCTAACCAAGAACGAGATCTTATGGTTAAGCTCACCTCCTCCATAGGACAAGGTACAGACTACGTCCTTGATGTAGTCTGTTACTATCATGCGCTCCTTGTTGGCCAAAGTAGATGCTACTGGTCTACTAAGGTGCCGTACCCGGTCCTGTAGGTGCAGCCTTTCCAAACAGTCGTGACTTATATAATTTCATGTGGATCCGATGTCTATGAAGGCACCACATTTGCGGCCTCCTACATCGACCTCCACCACGAAATGTTCCCTTCTATGACCTTTCCTTAGTGCCACCCAAGACTTACGAGGGTCCTTGTTTGACCACTCATTCTCTAAGTCTTCTAAGGCTTCAGACACATCTAACGTACAGAGCATAGTTTGGTCTAGTTGTGTCTGCGGGGTGACTAAGGAGTCATTAGCCTTGGCCTTGTCATGAAGTGGGGAGGGTATCAATCCCACTTCATCTTGAGTCGAAGCGGATAATACTTCCACTGGCCCTACGCGTTTTCCGAGCTAGAAACCTGGGAGTAGGTTGCCCCCATCTTTGGAGCTACCTTCTGCGTAACCTTAGCGTTCTAGCACTTGTACTGTGAGTGTCCGTACTCCCCACAGTTGATACAAGCGCCACGCGTTCGGCGGTCACGCCACACGTCTTGATTAAGACCTGCCCACTCAGCCTGCTTGGTCTGATTGGAGGCAGTCTTCCCTTGACCCCTAGGCTGGCCCTTCCCTCGGCCTGCTGCCTTAGTCTTAACTACCGCGGTGAGGGTGCTACCCTCAGCTACCTCCTCGCCGTCATACTCTGAGTAGTCCATCAGGTCAGAGAGCTCATCGATCTCAGTTTGAGTCCCATCAGACTCAACCATCATCAACTTCGCCCCCTTCTTCTTCCACTCCTGAGGACTCTTCTTCTTTTTTGAGTCATTCCCCGAGGTGGGTTGAGCATTGCCTAACGTGGCCTCTAAGTCTAAGGCTTTCCTAGACAATATCTCAAACGAGTGGTACTCGGTGCGTGCCTCACTGGCTAGTAAGTTCCTCATGTTCTCTAGGAGACATCTGACAAACGTAGTCAATAGGAACTGGTCGCTGTAGTTGATACCTTGGACGAGGATCAGGCTCTCAACGATAGTCGTAAGCTCCCTAACTGACCTGAACTTGCGTTGGTCCAGTTTGTTAATAGCATCAGTGGCCCTTTGCGCCTCCTGTGGATTATGCCATCGAGCTTCTACCATTTCCATGAATTGGACTAGAGTCAAAGACTTAGCCCAGTCCGCCATGCGTCGCCCGTACCCGGCCTTCACAACTACACCATCTAACCATTTGGCTGCCTTACCCTCTAGGTAAGACGCTGCAGTTACCACTTCGTCCTCAGGCAAGGTCCTTTTGGCCTTCACCCAAACCGGGACTGTCCTCAACCATGTGTTGAGTTCCTCGTCCTTTCTCTCGCCTGAGAAGGCAAGAGGCGGTTTCATTAGGGTCTTGGGATACCATTGACCTTGCGGCTGTCCAAATTGCTGAACAGGTTGTTGTGGTGATGCAACAATCACCGCTGGACCCGAAGAAGAAGATGCAACAATCTGTGCTGCTGCTGCAGACGTACCACTTGGCTGTGGGCCAACTTGTATGACAAAGGGGCCTGACATTGTCGTTAACGGCACGGCGATTGTGCTGATGGCCGGAATCCTGACTTTGTCAATGCGTCCAGGATCTGGTCCAAAGTGCTTTGCATGAAGTCCATCTTGTTGTCTACGTGCGCATGCAGTGATAATATGTCGTTCTTCAACACTTTCAGGGGGTCAGACAAACCCGTTTCGTCCAGTCCCTCTAACGTAGCCTTGTCAGCCTCTAACGTATCAAGTCTGGCTACTCTACTTTTTATCTTTTTTTCTCTATCGGTAGCTTTCTTCAGATCCTCTTCTAACTGCTGGCGGAGCCTCTCGACCTGTTGGATCTCTCTGAGCTCCCGCTCACGTGCGGTCATGGGGCTGAACTGCGAGCCGGCCATTTGACTAGAAGACTGTCTAGAACCTGTGGAACCGGAAGTGCGTGAGGAACTTGTGGAACTTGTTGGCATTCCCAACGGGCTCCCATTAGTCCCTGACGAGGATGCAGATGATGACGCAGCAGAGCTTGGGTCGTTAGCCATCGCAGCTGCTTTGGCTGCTGTTGCCTGCTCTCTTGCTACTCTGTTTGCTTCTGCTATCCCCGCTGCTAACGCACGAGCTCTACGTATCCGTCTTTCTTCTCCCGGATCTAAGGCATGGAACACGTGCGGTACCCTTAGTGCCAGTGCACGTGTTAGTCTCCTACCGTCAGCTCTATCATCAACAGGTTCTGACCCACTCATTAGTTAGACAGATAGTGTCTACACTAGAATCCCCTAATGGAATCCTACCGCAACATGTATCTGACCGGCACATAGTTTTCTATAAATAGTTGTGTCCGGCGAGTTCCCTACTATACCGAATCAAGTAGCATATCTACAACATTCACACAGATTGTCTACATAGTCTAGATGCACCCTGATTGGTTCACTTACAACAGCATTAGTTAGAACTGGCTATGGTAGCATACAACAGTCTTATACTAATCTGTCTGTGAGGTTAGCAGTCCATCAACCAACTAATCAAAGGTACAAAAAGACAATGTAGCAGATGTATGATTGATGGGTATGGTTGTGTATACAGTTGAGCACCAATTGGAACCGACCCTTCCCCTCAATCCAACATACCGAACAACATCTTGAGCAAAGCAGTGTATTCGTGTGTGTATCGGCCCACCCCTGTGCCGAAGTCAGAGCTAAGTAAGCCAACCAGCCCACTCTTATTTACCCTCTTACGGAAACGAGCCTTACGCATGGATGATCTGGCTGATCAGGAGGAAATTTAAAGAGCGCCCCCATCTCTTCAGGAATTCTTTAACGTCGCAGTTAGGACGACGATCACAGCCAGAATCATTCCGTGTACCCAACCAGAAATGTTTATAGACGGTCTGGTAAGCGTCTCATACAAGGCTGACACACTTGGCAAGACTTCTATCTGAGCGCAGCAAGTGCCAAAACAGGACAACAGCCATCGCATGCGTGCACTACTCCCTGTGGGTTGGCATGGTGACCGTGACCCAGTGCTTCGACGAGGGCCCTTCAGAGGCACCGCCCTTTCTCCTTCCAGATGCTTCCGGGAAGATTGTCGTCTCTCAAGGTAGAGCGCTTACAACACCTCACCAAAAGAGAGGACTCTCAAGTTGGACTCACTTCCTCATGGTAAGAAGAGATTGAGAGAGTAGATAAGGTAAGGGATCAACATACCTGGAGATAGCTGCCCCCAACCACAGATTTTCTCACCAATTGAGCTGATGTTGCATTTGATGACCGGTCATGACCTCGCTACCACCCACAACGCAATGCAGTGCCACGTTAGTCCAATGCCACATCAACATGCTCTCATCATCAATCAAACATCCCGCTGTATCCCATGGCATACACTGCCGTAATAGCCTTTTGGTGCACCCCTCTCTACCCAGGGCGTGCACCTAATGTGGCCTGACGTCACAAGTACCCACTTCGAAGAAGCATCGTCAACGCACTAAGTCTGTATAACGCCAACATGCCGAAGGTAAGTGGCGATCAAACCAGCTCCGATACCAATTGCAAGGAACATGAGTATGGGCGAAGCACAAAAATCCAGAATGCAAAATCACACTGAAGTCCAAGTAGTCCAAGCCAAAGCAGATAGTACAATGGAACCGAGTAACCATCCAATTGAGAATGATACAGAAGAATCGTGAGTCAATGTCCATGCCCAACAGGGCAACACCATTAGCATAACCCAAATGTAGTTCTCTCTTGTGAATGGCGCCAGGCGCCCTATCTACTCTACAGCCTATCCTACAACTACAGCAATGAAAGCAACCAGACAACCTGACTACCAGCGAGTGATGGTGTCAACACCAATGCTGACCTCCACCATCACCAGGTACGTGTCCTCTTCCCCACACTCTCCCTTATTACCCACACA